GGAGCAAAACGAGGCTCTGGTCCGTAGTGATGATGATGCTTCTCTTTAAATGTTAATGTCCAAAAATCGTGACAGAAAGAATATTTTTAGTATAGATATTGATGTTTAAAAAGGAATTGTAGGGGACCAGCCAAGGAAAGTAAGGAAATTTTGTATTTGTGATGTTTTATCACCTGAACAAAAACACATTAATGTTTGTAATTACAAAAAAAAAAAGGTTTAAAGGTTAACACAACTTTTTCCTTTTTTACATTTTTAGGAAGAAAGAATTATAAGAAAAAAGAGCGGCATCAATGTTTAAAACTCACATAAGCAACATCACTAGAGTGTGGTGTTAGTTCTCACATGTAAGAGGGATGGTGAAGGGGGGGGGGGGTGGTTAACCAGCCTATCCTAGCTGCCCCTGCCAGGATGCCGGTGTGTGGGATTAATAATAAACACTTTTTGAAATGAATTATTATGCCTAAAATGCTCTTTTGTGATTTGCTTTGAAGGGCATGTGTGTGCGTAAGGGGTTGGTGGCGGGGTGGGGGCTGGGGTGGGGGGGCTCGCTTGCTCATTTGGAGAGCTTTTCCAATTATACAATTAGTTTGGAATGTAGGCCAGCAGTTCCTTGTGCTCCTCGACCCTGGATCATAAGTGCTCTCCCTTTACTGGTTTGCCAGCAGGAGAGGAAGTGACGTCATCTAAAGGTGAAGAAATATTACGCATCGGAGGAGCGAAAGCCATGACAGCGACCCGGCGCTCCGAATGGGCTGATGTGTGAAAACCAATGGTACAGCACACAAAGCCGACGGGTCGGCCGGCTCTGCTCCAATCATGTTTGTTGTGATTTTTCGCCCACTGAATCCAAAGACTTCTACAGACCACCCCCATTTCATCAGGGCGGGCGAGTCAGCTGGTCTGGAAGCCAACACAAACGGCACAATGCGAACTACTGTCGCCTCCCTTTTAGTCAAAGAAGTGATATGATAAATGGATTTATGATGAAGAACAAATTGTTTTATAATTTGGCCCCTTTGTGAATGTCCCCTCGCTCTTGCCTGGCTGCTGTACTGGGTTTAATATGAAGCAACAACAACAGCCAAGTGCCATCTGTTGGCATGCGGATTTTCTGTAATCTCTCTTTACTGATTACAACAATGAATACACAAACCTCTTAAATAATTATCCCGCAATGTAACAAAAAAAAAAAGGCTAAATAATTATAATCATTAACTCCCACCAAGTCTGCCACTCCTCCAGTAAATGAAGGCTGTCATGGAGGGAGGAAGAGATAAAAAGAGAATCAGAGTTTTTTTCTCCTGCTTCCATGCCAAACGTGTCTTAATATACCGGCAGCTTAAAGAGAACACATGTGACAAATTTAACCCGATGCCACGGAAAAAAAAGCCGCCCATCCCCATCATAATAAGCAAACTCTCTTCTATTTTCTGTAATTAGTTCATTTAAATGTTCATATGGAGAATTCAGGGAGCAATCACTGGATGTCTTTTTGTTCAATAATGCTTTTAGCATCTTTTTGTCTTTCTCTAAAAATACTTTGAAACAGATTTGCTTTTTTCTTATTGTTTAAAAAAACATTTCATATCTATAAAAAGCCCCCGAAATTTTTTTTTTATTAAATGCAGACATTTTTTTCATTTTCTGTAAAAGTAAGAGACAAATTACAGATATTTACATCATTCTTTAGGTGAGTTAGAATTCATTTCTATATATTTATCTATTTCTGTCACAATATTCAAGGAAAAATCTAAGAAAATTGTGGCCCTCCAGTTTCTGGATGCCTGGGTGCAGGGCCTAATTTTCAGGGGGGTTAAGGGGGTAAGACCCCCCTTACATTAGTCTGAACTAATCATTATATTCCCCAATAATAAAACAATATTCTGTATCTATAAAATTATTTTTAACGATTATTGGTTTACTTTCTGTACTTTTTTGTTAATGTAACTAACATGAAAACTTCCCATCCTGTTACCAAGCATTTACTGTTTGCTGTAAGTTGGGACACAGTTGCTGATTTTAAAGACATGAAAAGATTTATACCCTTTTACCTTCATCGGAGTAATGTACCTGTTTCTCTTTAAAATAATCAAAAAAGTTGTTGAAAAAAAAAAAAGACATGAAAAGATTTTAATGCAATGTAAACAGCCCAAAATTTTTTGAAACAAGAAATTTAGACATATTTGTAGGAAAGAAAACGCTAAAACTTGAAAAAAAAACGTCAGATTTTCCTAAAAGCGATTTACTTCCATCTATTGCTTCCATATAATCACTGCTTTCTTCACTTATCATAAGAGTTAAAAAATATAAGAGAACAAATCTGTAAATTTTGCAAAGCAGCGCACCATGATTTTGTGTAGCTCAGGACTGACATAACGCTAGCGGGGGCCGGGGGCCCTAACCCCACCATGTTGGACCTACATTTCAGCCGGTAACTGAAGGCTGAAAGTAACTAAATACACTGTGGTTCCTAAACTTATCTTGTTGTTTCCTAATGTAAAAAAAATATATTTTTTAAGTTTTTACACCCCCACTCCTTCAACCACTCTTTTTAAATCACAAAACTCCCCCAATGTTTCGAATTCGAATTATCTTAAGGGTATTTATTCTACCGTGTGACAGAAAATAACGTTGCCATTAATATATATATTGTTAAACTACCACTAAAAACTGGTTATTTATTAAGTTCACTCCCACATTACCCCCCTCATCCTCTGGGGGGAGTGCCCGCCCCCTTTAGGAGCCAGATTATAGACAGCAGTAAAAGGTCCAGCTGTTCATTGTTCCCTTTTGAATGTCTGATTTTTAAAACCAATATATATTTTGTGGAGGAGCAAAATGTTACTATTACTTACTATCCCATATTAATGAAGACTACCAGAAAGAAAATGAGCACAAATATATTTTTGTTTTTAAATTTAGAAGCTAAATAGTGAATAAAATAAAAATGTCCTTTTCTTCTTCTTTTTTAAATCCTGCCTGTCTGTTAATGAGTCTTCAAGGACTGTCGCGCCTGTTTACACAACTCCCTCTTCATAAGTCCTCCAAGAGCGTGAGCGTCTGCAAGTTTGTGTCAGAGCTTTGTGTGAGAAATGGTGTGAGAATACGTCAAGGGTAGCATGTGTTAGCTCTGCTTCCAATATGAGATAAATCTGTGGCGCATACCTCCAAAATGACACAAGCCAACACGGCATGACTCACCCAAGCTATATTTGATGAATTAAACTACAGTCTGCTATACAACCGACAGTACCATGGGACATTTTAAATACAGACACCTATCAATAATTAGTAATAAATGAGTATCAATGAGTTCCAATGATGAATTTTACATTTCTCTATTTGGGAAATCCGGATGGCAACTAAAGCTCTAATGAGGTGTTTATAACTCTAACTTTAAATCCGAATGTTGTTTGCTTGTTTTTAGAAATGCAAAAGCTGGAGTTTTGTCAGATGAGCATATCCCATAGCCAAAACCAGTTTATCCCTTTAGTTTTGTAAGAAAAACAATCGAATTTCTTAATTTTTGGTGTTTTTTCAAGCCTATGACCTTAAATTGTTTTTCTTTAGGTGGTTTAAAGTATTTTTTGTACAAAACTAAAGGAATAAATGCAAATCTGACATCTTGCGTATGCATATTGACTATGGCTATGCTGATCTGATGTGTATGCTCATCTGACAGAACACCGTCCTAACACCTTTGCTTGATTTCTACAGAAATTCCTTCAAAAACTAAAAAGAACAGAAGAGAGAAAATTCAGCTTTTATCATTTGAAACAGAGGAAGAAAGGATATCAGATGTGAAAAGATGTATTCAGCCTTAAAGTGTGTCAGAAAAGAGACAGTGTGACTTCTGTGGTTCCTCTATGACAGCGATGATGATGAATATCACCTGCTGAACACAAACACCCAGGTTGGATGAAGCCGTGTATCAGAGACGTCCCCTGACTTGTCATCCAACCCCCCCATCACAGACACACGTGTGTTTCTATAAGTATCCATCACTGTGAGGGATGATGTGGACACGCTCCTCTACCTCCAGGAATAATACCTGGCACCTGTTCGCTGCGTCCCCTCTGTGTGCTAACCGGCTCATGCGCCTCCGTCGCGTGGGCGAGACTTTCCGCCACAACGCGTGTGTTTACAGGCTAATACTGCCGTCCCTTGAGGGCAGGGGTGTTAAACTGGTTCCAGAAAGGGCCGTGTGGCTGCTGGTTTGCTTTCCAACAAAGCAATAGCACACCCGACTCCATTCATCTCATCAAGTGAGTCCAGTCTTAACATGATGACTTGATGAGATGAATGGAGTCTGTTATTTATTTTCCTTTTTGTATGAAAGGAGTTGCTTTTTGTATCTCTGCTTCTGTGTTCTTGACCCTCAGTCGGCCTCTGCAAAAAGGGAGTTTTTCCTCTCCACTGTCGCTACAAGCATGCTTAGTGTGAGGGATTGCTGAAGAGTCAATGATTCGATGCAATCAGCTGGTTTTCCTTAGATAGAAAACTTTGAATCAATCTGACTGTAAGATCTGGTGAACTGTAAAGTGCCTTGAGATGACGTGTGTTGTGAATTGGCGCTATAGAAATAAATTTAATTGAATTGAATGAGATAAAAATTAACGACGGATCGCAAAATATCCTAATCCTGAATGGGTGAAGATGTGTATCAGTCCATATGATACAAGAAATAAAAGCTTTTATCAGGCCAAAATATCGAGCGGAGCCAACTTTCAAGGGACCAGCTTGCTTGGACGAATACATCCTGCGCCAGTTCAATCAAAATACTGTTCCTGCTCCAAAGTTAAGGTGCAGAGTGGGTAAATATTTCACACTAACAGGCAAAGCAGGGATGGTTTGCAATTACAAACATTGTCATAGCAAGGAAGCATGGCATAGCTTATGAAGAAGTTTGGAATAAAAGCATAAGAGTTCTGGTCTGTGGGTGTGACAGACACCTTTAATATCCTCCCCTTCCCCTCGATCAATGGGTGTGATGGTACCTGAACGACTGCCGGATGTCAGGAAGAGCGCAGACAGCTTGGCACAGGGTGGGACGACAAGAGCCTGCAAACAGAGCAAAACATGCAGGAAATTCAGTGTCACCTGCATTCCAGCCTTGACAAGCTTCAAACACTGATGACAGAGAAATAAACAGCCATTAAAAAAACCTACTCTGAGCCTCCGACACACAAAACTGCTTCACAGCACCAGCTTATTGAGAAATCATTTACACTTTAATAACAACCATATGGCCCTGTGTTAACCCATGCTTACATGTCTCAATCTTAAAACTCTGGAAAAGAGAAACAACAAAGTAAATATGAATCCTTGGGAGATTCCCAAACCAAAGAAGAACCTTTGGTGTGAAAGTGTTCAGTACACCTGGTTCTACCACTGAGGGGCCAAACATGAAAACAACATGTTCTCTTGGACGGTGCTGTGCATCAGAATGGCAGCGATTTAAATAAAGCTACAGTGGAAAAGCAAACTAGAAATAAGTAAAAATGTCTTAAATTAAGTGGATTTTGCCGTAATTTGAGTAGGTAAATAAGATGATCTGCCAATGGAATGAGTATTTCTACTCTTAAAATAGAATGATTAGATAATATGCACTTGAAATAAGAAAATGCAATTATTTTTTCTTATTTTAAATGTAAATTGTTTTGTTCCATTGGCAAAGTGTCTCACTCACCTCCTTCATTCAAGAACAAATGAACCTGTTTAAAAAAAAATGACTTTTTTTTTTTATTTTTTCCAGTGCAATAGGTTCACTGGAAAAACGATCTAGAAATAAGTAAAAACTTCTTAAATTAAGTGTATTTACCATTAATTTAAGTAGGTAAATTAGATAGTTTGCCTATGGAATGAGAATTTTTACTCTTAAAATAAGATAATTAGATATATGCACTTGAAATACGACAAGTTTCCTATTTTAAGTGTAATTTGTCTTGCTGCATTGGCAAAATGTCTCTTTTACCTCCTCAATCCAAGAAAAATTCACTTATTTCAAGAAAAAGTAACTTAGTTGGATTTCGATTTTTTCCAGTGTTAAGGTTAGGGGTTGGACCTGAAGCCTCTGCACCATCACCACGGTTACATCATTTCTGTTTCCCTGTGCTGAGATTTAATCGTATGTAAAGCTTTTCCAACTTTTATTTCTATATAAAAAACATATTTTCAGGTTTGAAATCATTATTTCCAAAAATCCTATGAATTTTTTTTTTCTTCAAAATCCACTAATTTGGAAAGTCTAAAAATAATTGGCTCAAGCCTTTTTTTTCATGTACAAAACTAGAAGTTATGGATTTATTTGCAGTTTACTAAACCTCCTATTTACATTTCATTTTTATGATTTTCAGAGGTTTGAATAAATGTTTACTTAGATTAAAACGTCTGAGGTTCTTCTGCATATCTGTGATCATCTGTCAGTCACAGTGTTACCTAAGGAGTTGTATTTTCAGTGGGGGGGTGTTTGTGCATATGGGGGGGGATAAAAATCCAGGTCTCTTTAATTTGAACCTTGAAATTAAACCCTATACACTGGAACAACGATCTGGAAATGAGTAAAACTGTCTTAAATTAAGCGTATTTACCCTTCATTTCAGTAGGTAAATAAGATGATTTGCCAGTGGAGTGAGGATTTTTACTTTTAATATAAGGTTATTAGATAATATGCACTTTAAATAAGACAATTGAATATTTTTTTTTCTTATTTTAAATGTACATTTTCTTGTTCCATTAGCAAAATGTCTCTTTTACCTCCTCCATTCCAGAAAAAAATGCACTAATTTTAAGAAAAAAATGACTTATCTAGATTTCAATTTTTTCCAGAGTGGATCTGTGAACGATGAGAGGCATACAGAGGCTGGCTGGGTCCTACAAGAGCGGGATGATCGGGGGGTAAGTGGGGGGCACAGATGTGGAGGGTCTGCAGGAGGGCCACCCAGATTTACCCTCCACTACTTTTTCAATGGAGCGTCAAGAGGTAAAACTCACACTCACACACAGCCGCTCACACACAAAGCCTCCATGTTGCCTTAAGTCACAATCTAAATTGGCTCCCAGGGGCATACTGACTACCTTGTTCACCAAAGGCATTGTGTATGTTTTCTGAGTGCTTAGCATATGCCGCTGTAACCCGAGATCCTCTGTCGCGCTCTTACTCTCTTATTTCTCGCCCGTCTCCTGTTTGCACACACAAAAAAACAAGCACACAAACACGCACGGCACTGCCAGGAGTTCTCTCCCCCTTCTCTGCTTTTATGTTTTATTCCCATCAGAAGGTTAATTAAATTCAAAAATAGTTTGCATCTACCTATTAAACCATGTTGCACCAACCGCCCACCAGACAGTCATCAACAGAGACACCACAACAGGCGGGGTCGGGAGGGGGGGTCTAATACGAGCAAAGTAGAAGAAGAAGAAACTAGACGGGGGAAATCTGCTCAGATCAGAGACAAGAAATGTCACGTCTGCTTTTTTTTTCTTTTTAAGTTCTACCATATTTTAATGGCAGTGTGGGAAACACTGCACTGGAAAAACGATCTAGAAATAAGTAAAAAATGTCTTAAATTAAGTGTATTTACCCTTAATTTGAGCAGGTAAATGAGGCAGTTTGCCAATGGAATGAGTATTTTTACTCTTAAAATAAGATAATTAGATAAAACGCACTTAAAATAAGACAATGCAATTGTGTTTTCTTATTTTAAATGTAAATTGTCTTCATCCATTGGCAAAATGTCTCTTTTACCTCCTCAATCCAAGAACAAATGCACTTATTTCAAGAAAAGATGACTTATCTAGATTCCGTTTTTTCCCAGTGGGCAATCACTGCAAAAAAAAAAATGAAATCTAAATAAGCCATTTTTACTTAAATTTAGGAGGTAAGTGAGACACTTTGCCAACGGAACGAGACGATTTACATTGAAATTTAGAAAAAAAAAAAAAATTACATTGTCTTATTTCAAGTGCATATTATCTAAGTATCTTATTTTAAGGGCAAAACTACTCATTCTATTGGCAAACTATGTCATTTACCTGCTCAAATTAAGGGGAATTAAAACTTAATTCAAGAAATCTTTACTTATTTCTAGATTGTTTTTGCAGAAAAAAAGGACACACACTGCAAAAATAATCTAGAAATAAGTAAAATATCTTAAATTAAGTGTACTCACCCCTAATTTAAGTCATAAATGAGACAGGGTTAGGGTTAGGGTTCTTAAAATAAGAACAAAAGTACTTATTTTAAGAAAAAAACACTTATCTAGATTTAGATTTTTCCAGTACAAATTTTCCACATACACTGTAAAAAATCTAATTCTAAATAAGTCAATTTTTCTTAAAATAAGTGCTTTTGTTCTTGAATTAAGGAGATAAAAGAGACCTTTTGCCAATGGATCAAGACAATTTACACTTAAAATAAGAAAAAACAGTTGCATTGTCTTATTTCAAGTGCATTTTATCTAAATATCTTCTTTTAAGAGTAAAAATACTCATTCCATTGTCAGACTCAAATTAAAAATAAATAAACTTGATTTAAGAATTATTTGTACTTATTTTTAGATCGTTTTTCCAGTGTAAAAAAAAAAAAAACGCTTCGTTGATGTCGTCATGATCCAAATTTCCTAAACGCAGTCAAAAGAAGAGCTTGCCAAGCATTTTCTAGAAGCAGATGTGCGCCGCTAGAAACGTTATTGTTCTACCGGGGCGGGGGGGGAGAAAAATTTTGAGGGAAAAATCTCCCAACACCTGATTGAATCTGGTACATCTCTGATCTGATATCAGGCTCACTGCAGAGTAATGAAAATAGCTAACATTTTAAGACAGTCTAACCTTTCCTGTGTTTACCTTATTAAAGAGTGTGTACCTTAACTGGTAGAGCAGTACACACAGGAGGCGAGGATGCAGGGGGGGGGGGACGTGTATAAAGCAAGCAGTGTTTAAGCAGGCGAGAGCTAAAGTAATAGGCAAGAGCAGTGAAGTGTTGATTCTACAAAAGATGCGAGGGGGAAAAATTGCACCTTAGTGTTCACACACACACACACACACACACACACACACATACATTCCTCCCCCCCCTCCTCAATCTACTCCCACAACACGGCCCGCTGCCTGGCAGCCGAAGTTAACATTTTCAGAGAAAATATTCCTTGCCTCCAATAGTCCGATGTAATTCATTTTCCATCTCTGTTCATTAATCATTGTTAAAATTAGTGATCCATTTCTTCCACTCTGCCATCTGCACTCAGCTTCCTAACAAACATGACACCTTGGTGCATAATAAAAGCTGACAGCTACGAGGAGGCCTTTCCAAATAGCTTTCTGCATATGTGCACCTCTGTGTCTTGATGCCGTTGTCAGACAAAAGTAGGTTGTTTGGACCACCCTTTGCTGGAGACAAATGATTACAAGTGCATGGACGTGCACGCAAAAATACACCCTGTTTTATACAGATACAGATATATATATGGATATATATGAACACGGACATTTTAGACCGTATATTTTATCAGAAAATGAAGAAAATAAAGGCTTAAATGGGTTACATCTGTGTGCACTGGAAAAACAATCTAGAAATTAGTACAAATTTTTAAATTAAGTGTATTTACTCTTAAATTGAGATAGTTTGGCAATGGAATTAGTATTTTTACTCTTTAAATAATATATCTAGATAAAATGCACTTGAAATAAGACTATGCAATTGTGTTTTCTTATTTTAAATGTAAATATTCTTGTTCCATTGGCAAAATGTCTCAATTCGAGAACAAATTCACCTATTTTAAGAAAAAATTACTTATCTAGATTTTGATTTTTTTCCATTGTAACTAAGATTCTAAACAAAATTACACTGCAATAAAATTTAATCTCAATAAGTCCTTTTTTTCTTAAAATAAGTGCATTTTTTTTCTTTAATTAAGGAGGTAAGTGAGACACTTTGCGAATGGAACAAGAGAATTTCCATTTAAAAATAAGAAAAAACAATTACATTGTCTTATTACAAGTGCATATTATCTGATTATCTTATTTTAAGAGAAAAATACTCATTCCATTGGCAAACTATATCA